CTACTATATTATTTTCCTTACTCTTTTTTGACTTTGCCATGTCAAGCTGTATCCACAACACAAAAGAATAAGATCACACTTCAGAACTCATTGATGCATGATACAGACAAGCAATACTTTGATGTAAGACAACCGTATGAGGATGGAATATGTAAGAAAAACAGGATGACATGACATATTTCACAGCTACGATGTGCAAACTAAGCAGAAGGATTTTCAAGAAAATAGAAGTAATGCAAGCTAGACACCATATGAAAGATGCAACCAATATTACTCTGCCAAGTTAAAAGTGTCTTGTCATAAGTGGCAATTCGAAAAATTAGAAGTAGTACAACATAGAAATCAATGCAAGATGCAACCACTATCAAACTGGCATGTAAAAGCGTCTAATCGTGAGTGACGGATGCGGGATACACAACAGCAGTACTTTGATGTAAGAATATGGTATGATAGATAGATGCAGTGTATTCTAGACACATAAAGCCATGTCATATGCACATGTATAACGTATAAACTCAGCAGGTGCAATTTAATCAAAATAGAAGAAATACAGGCTAGACAACATATGCAACATGAAACCAATTATCACACTGTCAACTTAGAGCAAGCACCTGCGATGGTGGAGTACGGAAGATGAACTCATCATGTAGACTTGGGACTTCCACTACTAGAAAAAGACCTACTAGTGGCGCACCAGTTTTGCCTACTAATGGCGCACTACTGGTGCGGCACTAGTACCACGCCACTAGTATTTTTTACTAATGGCGCACCACTGGTGCGCCATTAGTATGCCTAGAGGTGCGCCATTACTATCTGACTTAGTAATGGCGCACCACATAGAAGTGCGCCATTAGTAATATTTTTTTCAATTTTTTTTAAAATCATTTTTTTTATTTTTTTTCTTAATCTCGGGTCACTACAAGCACGCTTAACTTCAGAGTTCTATCCAACCCCAACACCACCTCACTTCACAGGCACTTGTTGATATATCTAGCATATCAATCCTATTAAACCTTTGTTGATATTTAGGACTTTGTTCATGTTCATGAGTGTGATGAAATTTTGAAAAAATATTTCAAACTTCTGTTCATATTACATATCATATTTTGAAAAAAATTCCCGAAAAAAAATTGAAAGTATTTTTTTTTTCTGTTACTAGTGGCGCACCTAGCATATGGTGCGCCACTAGTAAGTTTGAAATTTTTTGAATTTTTTTGCCTCCAGATCTTAAAAGCCCCGTAAATTTTTTTCTGTTAGGTTTTTGAGGATTTTGAAAATGTTTAACAAGGTGCACCCCAGTTAAATTTGGATGTAACTTTTCGAGTAGATGATTTTTCATATAGAAAACTTTTTAATCCGAGTTCGTATGCAAAAGTTATGCCCATTTTACAAATTCCAGAGAGATTTTGCAAATAAAGTCGAAATTCATATTTGTAAATTTTCCCAACAACTAGAACACATATCACATGGGAAACTTATTTTTTTTATTTTTTAGACATTTTCATCATTTTCTTTTATTTTTTTAAAAAACTGAAAAGGCGGTCCACTGTGGGGGGGTTGCATGTGAGGGAATTTTTAGGCCAAGTTAGTAATGGCGCACCGTGGGAGTGGTGCACCATTACTAGTTGAACTAGTAATGGCGCACCACTCCCACGGTGCGCCATTACTAGTTTTCAAAAAATATAAAAAAAATTGAAAAAAAATTACTAGTGGCGCACTGTGGATGTGGTGCGCCATTACTAGTTTTACCAAAATAGTTTCATTAGCTCCTGAAGTATTATAAATACTAGTAGGCGAAAGTGAGACTAAAGAATTAATTTAGTAGATTGTGTTTTACGTATATGTTTTAAAATCCAAAATGAAAAAAAAAACAGAAAACATGTTGATTATAGAAAAATTAGGAGGAACCTAGAATTAGAGTCTTATGGGCAAGGACACTATTGCTGATTTACTAACCTCTATAAGAAATGCGGACATGAATAAAAAAGGAACATTTCGAGTAGTATCTACAAATATTACCGAAAACATTGTTAAAATACTTCTACGAGAGGGTTTTATTGAAACTGTTCGGAAACATCAGGAACGTAACAGATATTTCTTGGTTTCAACTTTGCGACATCAAAAGAGAAAGACTAGAAAAGGAATATATAGAACAAGAACCTTTTTAAAGCGTATCAGCCGACCCGGCTTACGAATTTATACCAACTATCAAGGAATTCCTAATGTTTTGGGTGGAATGGGAATTGCTATTCTTTCTACTTCTCGAGGAATAATGACAGATCGAGAAGCTCGACTAAACAGAATTGGAGGAGAAGTCTTATGTTATATATGGTAATCGCCCCGCCTATAGTGCTCGAATTATATCTCGCCCTTCCTATTTTTAAAATAAAAATAGAAAAATAGGAGAAAAAAATATGACAGAAAAAAAATAGGAGAGAAAAAAACCCCGAGAGAAGCAAAAGTAACTTTCGAAGGTTTAGTGGAAGCCCTACCCAATGGAATGTTCCGTGTTCGGCTAGAGAATGACACCATCATCCTAGGCTATATTTCAGGAAAGATACGGTCTAGTTCTATACGAATACTGATGGGGGATGGGGTCAAAATTGAAGTAAGTCATTATGATTCAAGCAAGGGACGTATAATTTATAGACTTCCCCATAAGGATTCGAAGTGTATCGAAGACTCGAAGGATAGCGAAGATTCAAAGGATTAGGTTTTTATTTTTTTTTCTAGGGTAATAAATTCTAAGTTCTAAAATTCAAGCGAAGAGACTTATTTTTTCCAAAAGATTAGATTCATAGTTTAAAAAAGGATACGGAAATATGAAAATAAGAGCTTCCGTTCGTAAAATTTGTACAAAATGTCGACTGATTCGTAGGCGTGGACGAATTAGAGTCATTTGCTAAAAAGTAAAAAAAAAGTACCCACGGAAATGTTCCAATTCCAAATAAAATAATTTCATTTAAAATAGTTAAAGGGTTTATTTTACCCTGAAACGGATATCTTTGTATCTTTTTTTCTTTTTTTTATTTCTAACTCATATTTATGAGATAATAAAATATGGCAAAAGCTATACCAAAAATTGGTTCACGTAAGAAAGTGCGTATTGGTTTACGTAGGAATGCACATTTTAGTTTATGGAAGAGTGCGCGTAGAATAACTAAAGGGGTTATTCATGTTCAAGCTAGTTTCAACAATACCATTATAACTGTTACAGACCCACAAGGTCGGGTGGTTTTTTGGTCCTCGGCCGGTACTTGTGGATTCAAAAGCTCAAGAAAAGCATCACCCTATGCTGGTCAAAGAACAGCAATAGATGCTATTTGTACAGTAGGTTTGCAATGAGCAAAAGTTATGGTAAAGGGCGCTGGTAGTGGAAGAGAGGCCGCATTACGAGCCATTGCTAAAAGTGGTGTGCGATTAAGTTGTATACGCGATGTAACACCTATGCCGCATAATGGATGTCAATCGCCTAAAAAAAGACGTCTGTAAAAGAATTAACCCGCTTCCAACTTTCATTTCAAGAGAAATAAATGATTCAATGATAAAATAATAATACTAGTCTATTATGGTTCGAGAGGAGGTAGCAGGATCCACTCAAACACTACAGTGGAAGTGTGTTGAATCAAGAGTAGATAGTAAGCGCCTTTATTATGGTCATTTCATTCTGTCCCCGCTTAGAAAAGGTCAAGCGGACACCGTTGGTATTGCCTTGCGAAGAGCTTTACTTGGAGAAATAGAAGGAACATGTATCACACGTGCAAAATTTGGGAGCGTGCCGCACGAGTATTCTACAATAGCAGGTATTGAAGAATCCGTACAAGAAATTTTACTAAATTTGAAAGAAATTGTATTGAGAAGTAATCTCTATGGTGTTAGAGACGCATCCATTTGTGTCAAAGGTCCTAGATACATAATTGCTCAAGATATCATCTTACCGCCTTCCGTAGAAATCGTTGATACGGCACAACCTATAGCTAACTTGACAGAGCCCATTGATTTCTGTATTGATTTACAGATCAAGAGAGATCGTGGATATCAGACAGAACTCAGAAAGAACTACCAAGATGGAAGTTATCCTATAGACGTTGTATCCATGCCTGTTCGAAATGTGAATTATGGTTTTTTTTCTTGTGGGAATGGAAATGAAAAACACGAGATACTTTTTCTAGAAATATGGACTAGGAAGTTTAACCCCTAAGGAAGCACTTTATGAGGCTTCTCGTAATTTGATTGATTTATTTCTTCCTTTTCTACACGCGGAGGAAGAGGGCACTAGTTTCTAAGAAAATAAAAACAGGTTTACTCCACCGCTTTTTACTTTTCGAAAAAGATTAACTAATCTAAAGAAAAACAAAAAAGGAATTCCATTGAATTGTATTTTTATTGATCAATTAGAATTGACTTCTAGAACGTATAATTGTCTATAAAGGGCCAATATACATGCACTATTGGACCTTTTGAGTAAGACTAAAGAAGATCTTCTGAGAATTGGCAGTTTTCGTATGGAAGATAGAAAACATATATGGGACACTCTAGAGAAGCATCTCCCAATTGATTTACTTAAGAATAAACTCTCGTTTTAAATCCATTGCAATTTTTTTTTCTTTTTCGAGTTAGAATAAAAAGAAAACAATTTAGCATCTTTGGTACAATCTATATTTTCGCGAAATGGATCATAATAAAATGGATTTTAGGTATGTAGGGAAGATTCACTTGGAAGTAACTATTTCCTAGATACCTATGGTACTTCACGGTTGAATGAATCAAAAAATATCTAAAAAAGACCTAAAGTTAATGATTTATCAATGGGTAATGTTGCCCAATACCTAACCAAAGAGCTACTACAGTACCGATTAAAAAAGGGTTGTAGCTACTGGGCGGCGAAATGGATTTTGGAATTTATTGACATTCTCTAGAAAAGGTACTATCAATAAGCCTCTTGGCACAGAAACCATTAAAAGAACACCCAATAACTTATTGGGTACCGTATGGAGTATTTAAAACACGGGAAAGAAGTACCACTCGGGTAATATTTCCAGAGGAGATGCAAACGGATCTGCCGGTTCACCAATCATTGATGGCTCGAGAACCGCTAAACCTACATTACATGCAATAGTACCTAGAATTACTACTGGAAAAATATATAAAAGATCGTTGGGCCATGCGGGTTCCTCGTAATAATTATGTCCCATCCCTTTAGCTAATTTAGCTCTTAATACAGGATCATTTAAGTTTGGTTTCTTTGTTATTGGGATAGGTGAACTCTTTAGGATCCATCCCCCAAAGGAACCGGACATGAGAATTTATCATCATCCGGCTCGAGCAAGAGTGAAAGAAATAAGACCGCGGAAGATCCTTAATAGAATTAAGGTTTATAATGACTCAATGACTCTAGGCAAGAAAAGCTTTATCCTATTCTCTTTTCCGAAGTTGCACCTACAACTACTCATTGAAAATAATCCTATTCTTAACTAGTAATGGCGCACTATCCCCTGGTGCGCCATTACTAGTTTTGAAAAAAAAATTGAAAAAAAATTGAATTTTTTTTACTATTACTAGTTTTGAAAAAAATAAAAAAATCTTGTTACTAATGGCACAGCGTGGATGTGGTGCGCCATTAGTACTTGGACACTAATGGCGCACCAACACATGGTGCGCCATTAGTATATAGTAGTGGCGCACCACATGTCTGGTGCGCCATTAGTGTCAATTTCATCTATAACCCTTTTCCTAGTAGTGTTCAACTTCATTAGCAGTAGCAGTGGCAAATCTAGAGAGTCTCTGTTTGCGTCGGTGAGGAGGACCACCAACATCCCCTAACTTACTCTTTTCCTTCCTATTTTCTGATATTGCCTTATGAAGTCAAAACCACAAGAAGATGAATAAAATTAGCTCTACATAAATGGTTGATGCATGATACAGACGAACACTACTTTGATGTATGGCAAGCGCAGGATAGGAGGATGGAATATATACAAAAAAGACAGTGTTTCATATTCACACGTACGATAGGAGGATGGAATATGTATGAAAAAAAAGTAAGCGGAAGGCATTTCAACAAAATTAGAAGAAATGAAAGCTAGGCACTATATGAACATGCAACCAATATCACTCTATCAGGTAAAAAGTGTCTCGTCGTAAGTGCCATTTCAAGAAATTAGAAGAAGTACAAGCTAGAAGACAATTCAAGATGCAACCTACATCACAGTCCCAAGTTAAATGTGTCTTATGGGTAAGTGATCGTTGCAGGTATAAGTTGTAAGCTACGCAGATGCAATTCAACATAATCTGAAGCAATACAAACTAGACATCATACGGAAAACGCAACCACGTATAACAGTTCCAAGTAAGAGCAAGCACCTATGATGGTGGAGTAGGGGAGATGTGCTCATCATCTACACGGCTACATTGACTGTCCAGCCTTGTGTTGTCTTGCGAATCTTGTTGGGAGGATGGCAGAGTAGAATCTGTAGAGACCCCCTATTTGAGTTGCTCCGAAGGACCACCATCATCCACTGTCGGACTAATTTCCTTCAGTTGTAATGATTTTTGCATTGTGAAGTCAAACCGATAAGAAAAAGGAATAAAATTCGCTCTTCAGAACTCATTCATGCATGATACTGACGAACACTACTCGGATGAAAGGCAAACACATGATGCGAGGATGGAATATGTATGAAAAACAAGATGGTGTGACATATTCACACCTATGATGTGGTAACTAAGCAGAAGGCATTTCAACAAATTAGAAGCACTACAAGCTAGACACCATATGAAAGATGCAACCAATATCACTCTGCCAAGTTCAAACTGTATGGTGTTTCAACAAATTAGAAGCAGTACATGCTAGAAATCATATGCAAGACACAACCAATATCACAGTGGTGCCTTAAAGGTGCCTTATCATAAGATATAGTATGTACCAAAAACAGGAAAGCGTGTGTCGTAGAATTGTCATGGCAGATGTCCTAGTGTGAGGACTTAGTCGTGAGGCCAACGCATCTTTGTAGTAGCTTGAGAGGGGTTGAGAGGAATCGAGAGATGCAACACAAGACAAGGATTTAGACAGCTTCGGGCCCCGGGAAACATCATCCGGTAATAGCCCTACGTGTTGTTTGTGGCTAGATCTCATTATGCTCATGAGAAAGTCGCCGCATAAGCCGGCTCCCCCTTTGTGTCTAGCCCTAGAGATTGTTTCTTGCTTCTCCTTCTTTGGGGATCCTTGCCCCTCCATATATATGATGAAGGGCGGTTTACATGACTAGTCCTAGTTGGATTAGGATTACTCTATTACAATTGGAGTCCTAGTCTTGCTTCCTTTGTAGGAGAATATTCCTTGTGCTTTCCTCATAAACCGGCCCACCATTAAACGTGAACTGGCCTTCTGGGCCTTGGGCCTCGTCATCCATCTGACCCGCCCGCCGGGTTACTAATGAACCGCCAAGATCGGGCGGGTTACCCGTGAATCGCCAAGCTCCAGGCGGGTTACCAGTGAGTTGTCCAGTCCGGCCGGGTTATACTTCCGGCCGGGTTACGCCGCGGGGTATATCCCCGACATTAGCCCCCAAGTTTATCTTGGATTTATCCATGGTAAACTTATGCTGCAAAATAAACACAAGAATAAATTTGACAGGTTGTACTCCGGGTTAAGAATTCTTGTAAACCGGCACCTGATCATCCTTAAGTCCTTGTCATTTCCTCCTTCTAGAAAATCCGGGTCAATAGACCAGCTTCATAATCAATTTACTTGTAGAATAAATATTGTAAATAAAGAATTCATTTGAATCGGCCTTCAATGCTCTAACTTAACCAAAACGTTGATCTTTGACATATTCAACTGATATTCATCCGGTTTGAAACTGTAGAATTTGCCGAGCTATGACTTCCAAAATCACTGGTTATAAAACTGATAATTCTAGTTTATGATTGTTGCCAACGCCGTTTCATGATTGTTGATGACGCCGGGTTATGAGTGTTGCATACACCGGGTCAATCTGGTTTATTCAAAACTGAGAATTTGAAGATTTTTCTCCCTTATATCCATATTACCTGTAGCCTCCAAGTCTTGAGCAGAACAAAGTGATGGCTTAAGACTTGCTTCAATATAAACACTGCCACTTAAGAAGAAATCCATGTTGTTCATCCCAGTCACTTAGTAAAAACTGAATACTCCATATTATGTAGCCCCCAAGTGTCGGGTTGTCATGCTTGCAGCAACCTAGGACTTGTAATTGCCTGATGCTCAAAAAACTTCAACCAGTGTAGCCCCCAAGGGCCGGGTCATTATGCAATAATGAGCAGGGACTTTCTAAATATAATCGTGCTTCATTGAAAATAACATCATATGATGTAACTCCATCATGGGGCTTGAACCCACGTCCACAAGGTTAAGAGCTTTGTGCTTTACCAACTGAGCAGTGGACCCTTGAATATAATGGATTAAGATTTGTGTACCTTGAATCATTGATAGGAGCAATTGGTAGCCCCCAAGGACCGTCTCATTATGATGTGATGAGTCGGGTCTTCAATAAGGCCAAGAAATGACTTTGCATTAGCCCCCAAGTGTCATGGTGCATGCTTGCAGCGACATGAGACTTGCATATTTGATATAATCTCAACTTAAATAATGTAGCCCCCAAATGCCGAGTCATAAGCCTGCAGTGACTCGGGACTATTCCTTCCATTGTAGAATAAATTATATCCTTTGATAAAATAATAGCCATTGCGCTAAAGCGACTTTGAAAACTTCAATCAAAATACTGGTTATTGATAACCATAATAAAAATCCAGCCATGTTGGCTATTTAAGAATTGAATAATATAATCCGGTATGAAAACCTTATTCATCCAATATCATAATGAAAACCCCAGCCAAGTTTGGCTATTTGAATAACATAATCCGGAGTTAAATACCCGGCGGCTCTTAGCCGATGGCGACTTAACGCACATTCATTATAAACCGGAATTTTCATAACTCAGCAGCTTATAGCTTTTGAGATATCCAGAATGGATAACCCTTTTGAAACATCAATTTTGATGATGAGCTTGAATTGACATGATACAGTTATGCAAATCCTGCACATAGTTTAAGCAGCGTATGTCCTGGCGACTTAACGTCAAAAGCCAGGATGGGTAACAACTCAAACATAATATAACCCGGTTTGAGAACCGGTTTCTGCATAAATAAATCATACGTGCCCTGGCGGTTTACCGACGGACGGGTCATAATGCCCAACATATAACCCGGGTTTATAACCAAGGCTGCACTTAAGAATAATCAAATATGAAATATATCATACCTGTGACATTGAATCACAATGTTGGCTGACCAAATTTTGTAGTGAGGGTGATAACCCTAATCTTGAGTAATAATAACTCCTGTCATATTGTGCCAGTTTATGATGAAACCATACCGGGTTGTGATAAACACCGGATTAACCATACATAATATTGGCGACTTGTAGTCAAAACTAGACCGGGCTAGTAGTCTCCGGATTATAACTGATCATATACTGACAACTTGTAGTTGAAAGCCGAGTCGGGTTAATGAACGCCGGTTTATCAAAAACATCATAAATCTTATCAAAAAGAGAGAAAAACTCAATCAAAGGCAAAGAAAACCGTTGTAGTCGAGGCTTTTCATGGGCTGCCAGGCCCCAAATTCGAGGCTTTTCATGGGCTGCCAGGCCACTGAGTTAAACCGTTTTTGCAAAGCCTTTTAAGATGGTCCGCAATCCTTAACCAATCATCGTTTTAACTTGACAAGTTCAGGGTCTGTATTTTAGAATAACTTGTCAAATTTTGAAGGGTCATACCAGGTTTAACTGGGCGGCGTGACTTACTTAAAGAGGCAGGTTAACCCGGGGTTTTAGGTGTATACAACAGGCTTCCAAGCCATGGCTTGATAGCCCATTACAAGTGTAGATTCTAAGTTCATTGCGATAGCAAAGAATTCCCAAGTAACGTTTTGAGCTGTGCTGGGTGCCTATGTTTGAGTTGTTGCTTTACAATACTCTCTTTGGCCCCGGATTGATTTTCTGGTGTAGCTATGGTTCGGACACGACCAAGCCCCCAAGTGATTTTGTGGCACTGCGCCGATCAAAGAGGTGTAGCTATGGTTCGAATACAACCAAGCCCCCAAGTGACGTTGTATAAAGCTTTGATAAGTGGAATCAAGTGGTAAACCGGACGCCGCTTTATAAACAGAAGCCCCCACGTGATCAATAATATGATAAGCCAATAAGGCAGGATACCCATGTTTGAACCGCGCATCATGGCAGCAGGTCCTCTTCGGCAAC